TCTTAGTACAGGTGAACTACTTTTATTCCTGATTTAAACTAGCGATCGTGATGCTTTTATTTTTTTCTGTCAGGCTGTCGGAGCGCTCCTCCTCCTCTGTCCGGTGCTGGTGTGGTGTGAAAATCCTCCACCTCAGACGTTCAGAGATGTAACTGTCTGCGATACTGTGGTCACTCTCTATGTAGTATCAATTATGCTAATGCTAGCTGTCACGTTCTCTCGTCCTGGCCACACCTCCGCTCTCTAACCTCCCCTCCCCCCACACACACCCACTTTGATGCATTTTCAAATTTCACCTTGGGACGGAGTTATCTTTTCACAGGGGGAGTAAGATACAGTTTAATGGCTGACCATTTCACTAGGATTTTGTTTCCCAACCTTTATTAAAACAACTTGACTGTTGCCATTGTGAGAATAACCAGCTGATGGACTGTATCTGTGAATCTACAGGCTGACAGAGTTGAACAACTTGTTACTAGTTTTCACAAAGCCTTAATTAAACTATGAATGTCATGTTTTACATAAAACTATTTCATACAGCATGTTTTAAACTCACCAGGTGAGGCTGCTGCAGGTAACAGCAGCTTGAAGCCAGAGTATCCTTAGTGTGTCCATCAGGTCCAGGAGTTCACATCATTATTTTGAAGTCATCCTGTGTCTCTTTCCTGTCCCTCAAACCCAGCCGGTCGAGGCAGATGACCACCTGTCCTGAGCCTGGTTCTGGTTCTGGTTCTGCTGGAGGCTTCTTCCTGTTAAAAGGGAGTTTTTCCTCTCCACTGTCACCAATGTGCTGCTCAGGATTGGGCGACTGTGATGAAGTGATCCAACACAATCTGCTGCTTCTTTAGATTTTTACTCAGTAAAGGATGGGTTTTCAAATGTAACTGTAAAAAACTTGAAATAAAACCTACTCAATATAAAGTAAAAGTATAGTTTGCAATAATGACTCAAAAAAAGCATAAGGTACACACAATTTATACTTAATTACAGAATGCAAGTAAATGCATACTTTCCACCCCTGGTTATGAATCATTTTGATCCAGTAACATTTACAACAAAGTCCACTTTCTTACATTACTTTTGTTTTTTGTTTTTTCTCATATTTTATGTTATGCATGGAAACTTGTTTGCAGGTGGAAGATACTCTCAGTGAGGTGGACTTCCATCTGAAGCTGGATCTGCATTTTACCGACAATGAGCAGCAGTAGGTTCTTCAGCTTATCCTCACATTGTGTGTGTACTTTGTTAAAGAAAACACAGGAAGTACTGATGCACCATATTAATCTGCAGATTTATTTGGATAACTTTTACTGAAGCTGTTTTTAAATGTTCTTTTTTTCTTAATATGTTTTTATGTGCTTATTATATGCTTATGTTTGTTAATGAACACGTCAAAGAAAAATTTCTGCCACCGGTTCGGGACAGATAATAAACATTATATTCTATTCTATTCTATTCTATTCTATTCTATTCTATTCTATTCTATTCTATTCTATTCTATGCTATTGCAAATTGCTCATACTCTTCCTTTTCTTCTCATGAGAAGCAGTTACTTCCAGCTCCAAAGACAATACATATTTCACCCAAAATGTGTCTTTGAGAATCAGAGGAACATCCTCTCCTTACGTAACACCTGAGGAGTTCAGGCCAGGATGAYTTCTGGTTTTGCCATAAAGTAACAAATGATGCGCAAACAGAATATAGAGTTTGTTTTTGCTTTAAATGTTAAAAGAAAGAAAGAAAAAAGTAGCCTCTTTTCAATTTTGCTATTGTAGTTTTTGATTTATTTAGTTTTAATGCAAGAGAAAAAAAAGAAAACCACTCTTTCTTTGTTTTATTTTGAAATGAAAAACAACACAAAACAAAACAAAGAGCCATACAAGGACTCTTAATGCTCAAATGATATATTTATATTTATGCATTTTTATATATACAGTATATATGTTATTTTTATTCTATTTACTGCTGAATCAGTTTTGGTCAAATTAACTTTCTAATGTTGTGAATAAAAATAAACATTTGATTTTAAGTAATAAAAAAAATATGCTTGTTTCCATTTTATATTGTGTATATATATATAATTTGTATGTATACATAATTTGTATGTCTGTGTGTGTTAAGTTAATTTTGGTTTTTTTCTACTCTGTCAGATTGGCAGATATTGTGACTGTTCCCCTCATCAGCAGTCGGACCCTCGGTCTCCACTTCCACCCCCGAACTGGCCTCCATCACTACGTTCCAGTAATGTTTGACTACTTCCACCTGTCTGTCATCTGTGTCTCTGTACACGCCTCACTGGTTGCCTTACATCAGCCTCTCATCAGGTAGAATTAGTTGTGCTTTACTACTCTATTATGTTAAACTAGTTTATGTTTAAGTGTCCAAGCCTGCGGAGTAGGGGGAACGCAGCTGCAATGCAGCATTGTTTCCATGCATCCGCGGAGCGTGGAACCCTATTGAATCTGTTTTGTTTTTTTATTAGGGGTCCAAGCCCGCCGAGCAGGGGAACACAGCTACAGTGCATCAGCGTTTCTATGCAGTCTATGCATGGAAACCTATTTTATCTGTTCCTATTATTATTATTATTATTATTATTATTATTGATCCAAGCCTGTAGAACGATGGAACGCAACTGCAAAGCAGCACCATTTCCATGCATCCAGCGGAGCATGGAGCCCTATTGAATCTATTGCATTTTTTATTATCATTAGGGGTCCAAGCCCCGCGGAGCAAGGGGAAACCAGCTGAAACAAAGCAGCATTTTGATTCTGTTCCATTTTTTTATTCTACATTGTTTTAATTTTCTTTGTCAGTCCGTAAAACTCATACTGCAGCCCAAACCACAAGGACTATGCCAAATATATTTACAGTGAACAGGCCTTACATGTATGGTGGAGAAAAATAATCAGACACGCCAACCAATAGTGGGCACTGTAATGAAATCTTTGAATTTGGTCATATGAACTCCAAACTGCAAGTAACAAAATGTTTTGGCTTATTTTATGTTTTTGTTATATCTTCAGAATCTTGGTCATTACTGAGTCACATGGTGTCAGATAGGCACAGGAACTGATACATGGCCCAAATCTGACGTAGTCCTAACTGGGCATAAACTGCTCAAACTGCCACAAAATGGTGATGGACTCCACAACAATGGTCTGTGTGATGCCTGTGGCATTGAATTAAAGACTTCTTCACTCTACTTAAGCCACTGCCTGGCACTGAGCAGTCAAAGAAAAATAATTCTTGGGGACCCCTTTATGGATCCTGAAAAGCTCAGAACACTAAGTGTTTCTAATCTTGTGTCCTTCATCTGAGAGACACWAAGGTTTGACGACTGTTTTTGGAGAGAGGAATGATCCACTTATGAGGCCCCCCACATGGGTTCTTCACCAATCCCATTCACCATACCATAGAATCAGCGTACTATCTAGATTTAGGACAGAGTTTCATGGTGAATGAACTTTAAAACTATGAAAGAAAGTTAAAAGTAGTTTTCACAAACTTTGCTCTGTAGAAAAAAGTAGGCAGAAATGGGAGTGACACCAATGTGAATCCCAACCTTGTAGTACTCAACATGAGCCTTAAACGGCTCGACACACGGGGAGCGACAAACTACAGCGATTAAAGGGCTCGACACACGGGGAGCGACAAACTACAGCGATTAACGGCTGTCATCTCAGCCAGGGTGAAACCCGACACACCGGACCCGATAGTGATCGCAGCGTTACGAATCGCGCTCTCAGGTCGCTTGTCTTCACAAAATTTGATTGGTT